TGCACTATCGGAGTGGACGGAGACAGTTGATCAGCAGCGAGCGGTCGAGGGACAGGCACTTGCAGATCACGAGGAGTGACGTTTTTGCGCTTAGGAGACTCATTCAGCACTTTAAAACTGCTGAATTGAGATTCCATGGCTAGAAGCCGATCGTACTGCTTTTTAAAGCCCACGGTCAGCTCCTTAAACCCCCTTTCGCGTCTGCCTCATAAACGTGACCATGTCATTCTCGATAGACCGACATGCCTCGCAACTGTAATGCAGACCATTACGCTTCGAAATTGCGTCACCCACGAGGCCTGAGAACCCAATACATTTTGCGTGTACTACGTTATCGCAGAGCCAGCAAGGGATGATCGGCTGGTCGTGGGTGATCTGCTTTTTGCAAGCCTTAGCGGAGCACACAACCAAGTATTCCATTATTTTATTATTTATTTTGAATACATAAATAAATAAAATAAATAAAAATTATTTTCACAAAACAAATAGCAATGGGACCAGTGTGCCGACCAATTGCTTAAAGAAATGTTTGAAGCGGGATCGAAAACAGATGAGCGCAGAGATGAGAGAAGAACAAGCGCAGCGGCAGCTAAAACAGACAGAAGCACAACTACAAGAGAGAGCGGTTAATAGTGAGGGCGTACTTACAACAAGAAAAAGCACAAACACACAACTAACCGACGCACAAATGAATACGATTTTAATTTTAAACAAAATAATAGGCATGAACTCGCGTATTAAGATAGTTAAGAAAAGCGGCAAGCTATTCAATAATTATAGAAGAATTATTTCGAAAAAAAAACCGGTGCTTATTCAAAATATAAAGGAAAATACGGAGCGCAAAACAAAAACACGTCTGGTCACTACGAAAAGATTTGATTCTTTGATACCGCATGCTTTGTTCCCTTCTCCCTCATGAGACCCTATTTTATCCATTATCCCATCCGGATGCCCTTATGAAGCCTGCGATCCGTCTGGGACTAATTGTAGACATGTCCGAAATGTCATTTAGAAAATGAGCGCCTAAGTATTGGAGTCTCCTTCTACTGAGAGCCGGGCAGGAGCAGAACAGGTGTTCCACAGTCTCCTCCTCGTCCTCATCTCTACAGCTTCGACAGAAGTCGTAAGCCAGCCTGTTTTCAGGTGTGCCTATTAGCCAGTGTCCCGTAAGGGAGCGTATGACTGAGCTGCACCTACTCCTACTGAGTTTGCAGAGCTCATCGGTGCGCTTCCTATTAATGTTAGGCCATGTTTGCCGAGTTATGCTACATAGTGGCACAGTTTGCCATCTGTCATTTATTAGTTGTTTAAAATGTTCTTTTATTTTGAGCTTGCAGGTGGCCATTGGCATACGAATATCCTCCTTATCATTGAGAAGGGGGATTGTTGTTCCAGATCTGGCCAGCTCGTCTGCTACACAGTTGCCTTCAATGTCCTGGTGGCCCGGGACCCATATTAGGCTGATGACGAACTGATAAGCCATCTCATGAAGAGATTTGCGACAGTTTTGACAGTGATTTGATTGCAGCTTGGCTATCCTATGGATATTTATGTGAGTTACCGCAGGGGTTAGTTCCTGAAGACAGCTCAAAGCTTCCTTGATCGCTATGACCTCTGCTTGGAAGACACTGCAGTGATCCGGGAGCCTGAAGGAGTAACTTATGTTCAGCTGTTCGGAGTAGATTCCTCCTCCGACCTTGTTGTCCAGCTTTGAGCCATCAGTGAAGATTCGAATGGCTCCCTTTGGACTCCCTTTGGTGGTCCCTCAAGCCAGTTGTTTCTGTGAGGGATGATTGTTTCAAAGGGGGTATCTGTATACTCCCTCGGAACGCAGTAGTCCGTTTTTATGGGGACGATTTTGTTTCCATTTAGGATGGACGCATGACCGGTGTGATGTGACACCCATTGGCCAGAGTCTCTAAGACGGATTGCTGCCATTTCTGCCTGCTCCTTACCTGCAAGGTCAAGGCTCTGCAGGCATAGTATAGCATTTAGCGCATCCGTTGGTGTTGTGCTCAGAGCTCCACTGATGCTTAGGGCTGCAGTACGCTGCACCTTGCCTAGTTGTTTAGTGATGGTCCCCTTCGATAGGGCAGTCCACCACACTGCGACTCCGTAGAGCAGTATTGGTCTTACGATTGCTAGGTAGATCCATTGGACGATTCTTGGGTTCATGCCCCATTTTAGCCCAATGGCCTTCTTGCAAGTGTAGAGGGCTATAGTGGCCTTCTTCACTCTGTCTTTGATGCTCAGGTTCCAGCTGAGCTTTTTATCAATTACCAACCCTAAGTAACTGGCACTGTCGCTGAAGGAGAGCCTGCATCCGTTTAGTATTGGGGGGTTGAGGGACGGGATTTTGTATTTGGTTGTAAACAACACAAGTTCCGTTTTAGAGGGATTAATTCCCAGTCCACGCGACTTTGTCCATTCTGACAGTCGCGCGAGCTTCGCGGTCATTAATTCGCAGAGTGTTTGAGGGAATTTTCCCGAGAAGATAATGGCAACGTCGTCCGCGTATGCTACCACCTTACAGCCCTCCCCTTCCAGGTCACACAGAATCTTATTGACTGCTATGTTCCATAGTAGGGGAGACAGGACACCGCCTTGCGGGGGGCCTCTGTTGACATACCTTGACTGAGTGGACGATCCCATTGATGATGTCACTGTCCTGCATGTGAGCAATTGATCTATGAGCATCACCAAGTGACAATCCACTCCCAGGTCAGTCAGGGCCTCTGTGATGGCTTCCGGTATGACATTGTTAAAAGCTCCCTCAATGTCTAGGAAAGCGATTAAGGAGTATTCTTTGACGTGTAGAGATTNTGGTGTTGTGCTCAGAGCTCCACTGATGCTTAGGGCTGCAGTACGCTGCACCTTGCCTAGTTGTTTAGTGATGGTCCCCTTCGATAGGGCAGTCCACCACACTGCGACTCCGTAGAGCAGTATTGGTCTTACTATTGCTAGGTAGATTCATTGGACTATTCTTGGGTTCATGCCCCATTTTAGCCCAATGGCCTTCTTGCAAGTGTAGAGGGCTATAGTGGCCTTCTTCACTCTGTCTTTGATGCTCAGGTTCCAGCTGAGCTTTTTATCAATTACCAACCCTAAGTAACTGGCACTGTCGCTGAAGGAGAGCCTGCATCCGTTTAGTATTGGGGGGTTGAGGGACGGGATTTTGTATTTGGTTGTAAACAACACAAGTTCCGTTTTAGAGGGATTAATTCCCAGTCCACGCGACTTTGTCCATTCTGACAGTCGCGCGAGCTTCGCGGTCATTAATTCGCAGAGTGTTTGAGGGAATTTTCCCGAGAAGAGAATGGCAACGTCGTCCGCGTATGCTACCACCTTACAGCCCTCCCCTTCCAGGTCACACAGAATCTTATTGACTGCTATGTTCCATAGTAGGAGACAGGACACCGCCTTGCGGGGTGCCTCTGTTGACATACCTTGACTGAGTGGACGATCCCATTGATGATGAGTGACAGGACGTACACTCGTTAACTAGATACTCGTAGTGGTTCACTGTTAGGTGAGGGTCCAGTCAGTCCCGGAGACACTACCGAAGGCCATACTGTAACAATTTTCGAGGGAGTTACAGATCCTAAGCGATTAAGGAGTATTCTTTGACGTGTAGAGATTTCTCTACCGCCGAGATTACTTCATGGAGTGCCGTTTCTGTGGATTTCCCTTTTCGGTAGGCATGTTGGGCGCCTGACAGCCACTGAGGATTAATGGTTGTCCTCAGCTGCAGCCCTACTAGTCTTTGAAAGGTTTTGAGAAGGAAGGACGATAGACTTATTGGTCTGAAGTCTTTTGGGGTTGTGTGTGAGGGTTTCCCTGCTTTGGGGATAAAGACTATTTTAGCCTTTAGCCAAGCGCGGGGGATTTTTCCCACTGTCAGTATCTTCCTGAAGATACTTTGCAGCCAGTTGATGGCCATGTCCCCGGCCTTTTTGTAGCTGAGCCGGAATGACTTGGTCCGGGCCAGGTGATTCGTAGGATATAAAGCTGTTTACTGCCCAGCTAATATTCCGTTTTGTGAGGATGTGCCCCATCGAGGTTTCCAGGCCTTCACTTGGGGTGTCTGCCGGCTTGATGGTCGTACACCCAGGAAAATGAGTATCGAGTAGAATGTGTAGGGAGTCCTCACTAGAGTTTGTACACGTACCATCAGTTCTCTTGAGATATCCCACCAAGGGGGATGTTTTTGACAGGATCTTGCGTAGCCTTGCGGCTTCTGACGTGTCCTCAATTTCGGAGCAAAATTTTTGCCAAGAAGCCCTTTTTGCTCTCCTTGTTTCTTTTTTGTATAGGGTTAGCTTACTTTTGTAATTTTCCCAGTGCGCTACCTCGCTGCTGCTTTTGGCTGTGTTAAAGAGAGTCCTGCAGTCTTTCCGGAGGGTATCTATATGTTTAGACCACCAGCGGGGTTTCATTTTCCCTCTTGGTTTGGTTGAGGGGCAAGCTGCCATGAAGGCCTTGTTGCAAGCTTCCGTGAAATTGTCCACAAGACGATTAAGATCGTCTTGTGTGTCCGGGCATTTTGGGGCTAGGAGGGGGAGTAATTCCTCCATTTTTGCACTATACGTATCCCAGTTGGCTTTTCTTGGGTTTATATAGCCAGTGGGTATGGTGCTTTCGAGCGATAGGATTGTCTCGATGTACCTGTGGTCGGAGAAGGAGTGGTCCTCTAGGACTCTCCAACTTTTCATTATGTCTGACAGTTTGTGAGACAATAGAGTGAGGTCAATAACCTCTTGACGGTTTTTTATGATAAAAGTGGGGTCATTACCCCGATTACCAATAATTGGGTTGGAGTTTAGGATGAAGCTGAAAAGTGACTCACCCCTTACATTTGTATCCGAGCTCCCTCATTGGGTGTGATGAGCGTTGGCATCGCAGCCTATTAGTAGGCTTGTATTCGACCTCTCGCTGTCGCTGGCAATCTTGCGAACGAGGTGACTGGGAGGATCGCTTTCTTCATGAGCCATGTAGGCCGAACACCAGGTTCAGGCGTGTCCCTTGTAGCTCTAGGCTAGCCGCCGTGTTGTCGCCATTGCTAAAATTATGGAGCAGAAAGATATTTAAGTGCTTTCTTGCTAATATGCAGGTTCTAATTTTACCTTCAGTTTGGGCTACAATCAGCTTGTAGTCCTTCGTCGCTAATCCACAGACCCTGCCTCCTACCACCCAGGGCTCTTGGATTAGGATTATGTCCCCTCCGCTCGCGACTAAGCGGTGTATCAGGGCAGCGGATGCTGCTTTACAGTGGTGGAGATTAATCTGCAGAAGCCTCAGAGACTTCATTAGAGTCATTCTCCACCACTGTTATATCGGCGTCCGAGTCGTCGAGGATCTCGTCCCGACACAGCGCCTCAAAATCGAACATCAGCTCCGTCTCCGAGGAGTAGCTCTCCAGGGCCGGCTCCGGCTCCGGGTCTACTTCGGGTGCCTCGATCTCCGAGACAACGTCCTGCTCAACTGGGTTGTTGACAGAACGCGCCTCGGCCGCTGCATCCGACTTATAGACCTTCATGGTCACCGAGCTGAACCCGAAGTTAAGCTCTCCCCTTGCTGCCTCGATCGGGGCTAGCGATTCCTTGTTCAGGATAACCACCGCCTGATTTGTGGGGCCCTTTGATGCCTCCACTTTAACCACTTTCCAATCTGAGGTTGGCAGTGTGGGGTTGCATCTCTGCAACATCGTGAGGATCCGCTCGGGCTCCTTGAAGGTGGCCGGTACCCATATACGGGCCCTTCGTCTACTGGGCACCTCGCTCCAGTCCACAGCGACGAGCTTCGCCCCGGCGTAGACCTTACCGACTTGCGCCACCGCAGCTTTGTATAGCTTTACGGAGCGCTCATCCTCGCAGGCTACCACTTTGATGCTCCCCTGGAACCATCCCATGTCTTTGCAGACCGGGGGTGGCCCGGGATCCTTGTCGAGAAGCTCGAAGCAGCGGTCGGCCAGTGCCGCTTCCACCCACTTCCATTGGCTTCTGGGTATTTTCCCCTCCGCGCTGCCTTTGTCGAGAACGCCTATCAGCGTCCTCTCCTTGGCAATCTACGCGAAGGATACATTTGGTAGAACCCTGGATCGCTTCGCGGCAGGTCCGGGCGTCTCTTGAGAGCGCTGCCTCTTCGGTTGTGCGGCCACCTTCTGTGGCTCCACACTGAAGTTGGGCAACACCACCGAGGCCCATTCCACTTTCTTCAGCCAGTCTGCTGTTGGGCTGACTTCCTGGCTGGCGTTCTGCCNTCCTGCTCAACTGGGTTGTTGACAGAACGCGCCTCGGCCGCTGCATCCGACTTATAGACCTTCATGGTCACCGAGCTGAACCCGAAGTTAAGCTCTCCCCTTGCTGCCTCGATCGGGGCTAGCGATTCCTTGTTCAGGATAACCACCGCCTGATTTGTGGGGCCCTTTGATGCCTCCACTTTAACCACTTTCCAATCTGAGGTTGGCAGTGTGGGGTTGCATCTCTGCAACATCGTGAGGATCCGCTCGGGCTCCTTGAAGGTGGCCGGTACCCATATACGGGCCCTTGGTCTACTGGGCACCTCGCTCCAGTCCACAGCGACGAGCTTCGCCCCGGCGTAGACCTTACCGACTTGCGCCACCGCAGCTTTGTATAGCTTTACGGAGCGCTCATCCTCGCAGGCTACCACTTTGATGCTCCCCTGGAACCATCCCATGTCTTTGCAGACCGGGGGTGGCCCGGGATCCTTGTCGAGAAGCTCGAAGCAGCGGTCGGCCAGTGCCGCTTCCACCCACTTCCATTGGCTTCTGGGTATTTTCACCTCCGCGCTGCCTTTGTCGAGAACGCCTATCAGCGTCCTCTCCTTGGCAATCTGCGTGAAGGATACATTTGGTAGAACCCTGGATCGCTTCGCGGCAGGTCCGGGCGTCTCTTGAGAGCGCTGCCTCTTCGGTTGTGCGGCCACCTTCTGTGGCTCCACACTGAAGTTGGGCAACACCACCGAGGCCCATTCCACTTTCTTCAGCCAGTCTGCTGTTGGACTGACTTCCTGGCTGGCGTTCTGCCGACGGAGGATGTGCCCAGCACTCCTCTTTTCGGCATAGCTATATTTTTTGGTTTGGGCGCTGGTTGATGGTAAGCCATCACCCGCCGCTTCACCGGAAGGTTGAGCAGCCGCAATATTGCTTAGCTGCCCTACCATGGTATCAGTTTTGGGTGTTGGCTTTCCACCCATCCCAGGTTTAGGATGTGACCCACCCGGATTCATACCCGCGTCCTTCACCGTGCAGGTCTTTCCTGCGTCTGAGCGAATCGGGCCAGGCCTTTGGGCCGTTGCCTTCTCCCGCTTGGGATTTCTCCCTGCAGGCATTTGGGGAGTGCCTCTCTCTCAACCTCTAAAATAAAACTTAAACTAAAAATTACATCCTTAATAAGTTCTTAAAAAACAAGTTCTTCCATAGAAAATAAACCCGACTTTTCCCGAGTTTTAAAAGTCAAAATTTCGAAAAAAAAAAATCTCACAACAATCAACAATTTTGCATTTCAAAGCTTTTCCGAGACGGTAGGATCCACTTTGGATCCACTTTATAGCAGTATCAATCAACTTTTCAGATAATCAAAGTTCTTTGCAACCAGATCTAAGATACTTAACTTATCTGAAAAAAACAAACCGCTACTTCTGAAAAAACCTTAAACTAAAAAGTAAAAACTTTGAAAATTCTTAAAAGAAAAGGTCTGCCATAGAAAATAAACCCGACTCTTCCCGAGATTTAAAGTCAAAATTTCGTAAAAAATACATCACAACATTCAACATTTTTGCACTTCAAAGCTTTTCCGAGACGGTAGGCCAAAACCAAACACAGTTTGGATCCACTTTATAGCAGTATCAATCAACTTTTCAGATAATCAAAGTTCTTTGCAACCAGATCTAAGATACTTAAGTTATCTGAAAAAAACAAACCGCTACTTCTGAAAAAACCTTAAACAAAAAAGTAAAAACTTTGAAAATTCTTAAAAGAAAAATTCTGCCATAGAAAATAAACCCGACTCTTCTCGAGATTTAAAGTCAAAATTTCGTAAAAAATACCCCACAACAATCAACATTTTTGCATTTCAAAGCTTTTCCGAGACGGTAGGCTAAATTTCACACAGTTTGGATCCACTTTATAGCAGTATCAATCAACTTTTCAGATAATCAAAGTTCTTTGCAACCAGATCTTAGATACTTTAGTTATGTGAAAAAACAAACTGCAACATATGAATAAATCTTAAACTAAAAATTACATCCTTAATAAGTTCCTAAAAAACAAGTTAATCCATAAAAAATGAACCGGACTTTTCCCGAGTTTTTAAAGTTAAAATTTCGAAAAAAAAAATCTCACAACAATCAACATTTTTGCATTTCAAAGCTTTTCCGAGACGGTAGGATCCACTTTGGATCCACTTTATAGCAGTATCAATCAACTTTTCAGATAATCAAAGTTTTTTGCAACCAGATCTAAGATACTTAAGCTATGTGAAGAAACAAATCGCTACCTCTGTAAAAACCTTAAACTAAAAATAACATCCTTAATAAGTTCCTAAAAAACAAGTTCTGCTATAGAAAATAAACCCGACGTTTCCCGAGTTTTTAAAGTCAAAATTTCGACGACAAAAATCTCACAACAATCAACAGTTTTGCATTTAAAAGCTTTATCCAGACGGTAGGCCAAAAACAAATACAGTTTGGATCCACTTTATAGCAGTATCAATCAACTTTTCAGATAATCAAAGTTCTTTACAACCAGATCTAAAATACTCACGTTATTTCTAAAAAAACCTTAAACTAAAAATTACATCCTTAATAAGCTCTTAAAAAACAAGATCTGCCATAGAAAATATACCCGACTTTTTCCGAGTTTTTAAAGTCAAAATGTTTGCATTTTAAAGCTTTTCCGAGACGGTGGGCCAAAACCACACACAGTTTGGATTCACTTTATAGCAGTATCAATCAACTTTTCAGATAGTCAACGTTTTTTGCAAACAGATCTAAGATACTTAGGTTATGTGAAAAAACCATCCGCTAATTCTAAAAAAACCTTAAACTAAAAATTACATCCTTAATAAGTTCTTAAAAAACAAGTTCTGCCATAGAAAATATACCCGATTTTTTTCGAGTTTTTAAAGTCAAAATTTCGACAATAAAAATCTCACAACAATCAACAGCTTTGCATTTAAAAGCTTTATCCAGACGGTAGGCCAAAACCAATCACAGTTTGGATCCACTTTATAGCAGTATCAATCAACTTTTCAGATAATCAAAGTTCTTTGCAACCAGATCATAGCTACTTAAGTTATCTGAAAAAAACAAACCGCATCCTCTAAAATAAAACTTAAACTAAAAATTACATCCTTAATAAGTTCTTAGAAAACAAGTTCTTCCATAGAAAATAAACCCGACTTTTCCCGAGTTTTAAAAGTCAAAATTTCGAAAAAAAAATCTCACAACAATCAACAATTTTGCATTTCAAAGCTTTTCCGAGACGGTAGGATCCACTTTGGATCCACTTTATAGCAGTATCAATCAACTTTTCAGATAATCAAAGTTTTTTGCAACCAGATCTAAGATACTTAAGCTATGTGAAGAAACAAATCGCTACCTCTGTAAAAACCTTAAACTAAAAATAACATCCTTAATAAGTTCCTAAAAAACAAGTTAATCCATAAAAAATAAACCCGACTTTTCCCGAGTTTTTAAAGTCAAAATTTCGACGACAAAAATCTCACAACAATCAACAGTTTTGCATTTCAAAGCTTTATCCAGACGGTAGGCCAAAACCAAATACAGTTTGGATCCACTTTATAGCGGTATCAATCAAATTTTCAGATAATCAAAGTTCTTTACAACCAGATCTAAGATACTCACGTTATGTGAAAAAACAAACCGCTATTTCTAAAAAAACCTTAAACTAAAAATTACATCCTTAATAAGCTCTTAAAAAACAAGATCTGCCATAGAAAATATACCCGACTTTTTCCGAGTTTTTAAAGTCAAAATGTTTGCATTTCAAAGCTTTTCCGAGACGGTAGGCCAAAATCACAAACAGTTTGGATCCACTTTATAGCAGTATCAATCAACTTTTCAGATAATCAAAGTTTTTTGCAACCAGATCTTAGATACTTTAGTTATGTGAAAAAACAAACTGCAACATATGAAAAAATCTTAAACTAAATATTACATCCTTAATAAGTTCCTAAAAAACAAGTTGTGAAGACGCACAATTTTGTAGTATGTAAGAAGTTATAATTGGTAGATATATAAGTTCTATTATAAAGGGGAAATTATGAACTCTGTGAAGGTTGCAGACCACAAACAAAAGGTTAGAATGTCTGTTTTTTTTTGGGGAACAGTCTTCTAATTTTATCAAGATTGAAATATTGAACCTCCCCCACTGTACGCATTCCAGCGAGAGCCCACATGCAAGATCAGAAACTGTTATCTTGAAAAGCTCTCTCTTTCGAAATTGCATGTGCGAGCACCGTTCACATGTGAGCTTTTCTCTCTGCAAACATAGCTTACGGCTAGCCCTTCGAGAACCTTCTTAGCTCTCTCATACACAGCTTTTGGAGGGGTAAAATAGTTAGGCTAAGTGCATGCTGCACAGAACAAAAATTGCATTCAAGGTTGGAAGACTTAATTGATGTGCGTGTAGAAAATATACAAAAACAAAAAAAAAACGTTGTGAAAATTTTGCAAAACCATAAAAGGGAACATAAACCAAATAAA